TTGCTCTGAAATTGGAAGTGCTTAATTATTACTGCTCTGTCTTCTCTGTTTCTAATTTCACACGGAATTAGAACAGTCGTGAACCAAATAAAGGGTTCATTTCAAAATCTGAACGTATATCACCTGAAGAAGTATAATGGCCGATGCGTTGTGAATGTAGTCATAAAAATGAGGACAACAGTCGAAAACGATGTAAATAGTTTAAATAGAGATGCGGTTCTAGAGAAGTATTCTGAGAGTATTCGGAATATGTGAGTAACAAGTAAATTTCAGGAAAATAGAGGGGAAAAAAAGGATACTTATGCTTAAAATAAGAAGCAGATTTCTAAGACACATTGTCTGGAATGGAGATTTGGAGAATTTGCCATTTACAGGACATAGTGATAATAAGAGAAACAGGATGAAATAGCACGTAAGATAACTGAGAAACTATGAATGTAAAACGTTCGGTTCACGCTCCTCCCCGATCTTTTGAACATGAGTATAGATTTATTCGTTTGTTTCTTGTTTAAGATTGGGTTTCTGATCCGTTATAATTTCTATTCAGCTCTCTATTCCCCCGCCTAATCTCTAAAACTTATACAATTATTAAGTTTCCCGTTCTTTTAAAAACATTTTCCTTCTCTTTCACTTCCAGTAGTGTCTTAGTGGAGTTAAAGTCCTGTCTTGAAGGTAACAGATTAAAACAAAATCAGGAAGTGTGTAATATAGTAAAAAAAAAACAAAAAAAAACCCAGCAACATTGCGAAGATCTACAAAGAACAGAAACATTCAGGGATAACGCAGTGGCATCTTGGCCGGTACGATGGAAACTTTATTAAATGTGGACGGGGTGTGATAGGTTCCCCTCATGGAGGTAGCGTTCAGTTTTTGTAAGTCCATAGTGTGTCTAGGGGAGCCGTCTTTTTGAGGTGCGACTACCATCAGCTGAGCACCAGGTTGTAAGCTTTTCCACCGGCACTGATTCATTTATACCCAGTACGATGTCTCGATCGAGGTCTGGTTTCACGCAATTCTTTCAGTGGTGAGGGATAGGAATCGAAGTGTGGACCACTGCTGGCGTCGCATCAGGGAGGAAGATAATGTCGACTAGTTTCCTTGTGATGGTCTGTAAGGTTTGGTGTCAGCATGTATCAAATGCGCTGGACATGGAATGGCCCTGTATCTATCGTTCCGGTCGGTGTCTGTTTGTTTCTGTTAGAAGGAACGGTTATGGTAATAGGCATTGGTGGAATGGGTTTTCCGCGTGGGGCATGTGCAGAGGTCTTTTAACTTTGCGCGCTTCAACAAGTTGAGCCGTGATGTCTGGGATAGAAAATCAGGTGGCAACAGATGTACGTCCTTCAGAGCAGATTCTGATATATAAAAAGCAGACGTGTTGTTTGACACATACACCACCTGTCATATCTCCCTCGAGGCAAATGCATGAACAATACGCACTTTATATGAAGTCGGTTGTCCGTGATGCCACGTATTCGATGACTAGTTGGCACGAGATACTCGTCCTGGCACTTGAGTATTTTTAATATCTCTGGTCGACTTGAAAAAGTCTGAATCCCTGTATTGGCGAACACGAGGATGTAATGACTAACGAGGCTAATTGGACTAGTCAGAGTGCGTCTAAATGAGGCGTGGATTTGATGCATTAGGGCCCTTATACTGTCAGTGAAATGCACTGGATCTGGGCCACCTCCTTCAAATCGCTATCCATTCCACACAAGATGAGGGACAGCACCGGGGATACCAAAACCGGTTTTACGGATCCGTTTTGACCTGTGAAAATAGTTGATGGCGCAGGTGGGGGAATATTTCATACTAGTGCTTTAGAAAGTGAATAAATCTCGCAAGTGTTGATCTGTTCATGGTACCAATAAAGTGATCCCTAATTCCCGCCATTATGACATACCAGCTTAGCTGCTGGAAAATCTCTCCTATCACCGGAGTGGAATGTCTTCCCGCAACCCACACATGGATTCTTATTCGTCAAAGAAGCGAGTATATTAGTTCTTTGAGCATTATTTACATTATTCGGACTCATCTTTGTCGCCATATTTATCACAATGCTGTTTCAAGTGGTTGGAATTTCGAACTGAACCCTTTATTTCGCTCACTGGGGTAGACTGTTCTATTTCCACGTGCCATGTTATTGATGGATGTCAGTTATCAGTTATCGCCTGCTCTGAAAGTTTTCCACTGCCTTAACCGGGTATTGACCTCACACTCTTTGGGTCCTGTCACTGGATCTAACCAACACCTTTATCCACTGTGCCATGTACCCTTGAGGACATCTGGGCATGAATTTCTGGGTATTATAAACGTAATGTCTTCAGCAAACATTTTTACCAGTGCTCATATTGCAATTTTGCTGTTATCATTACATGTTTTTACCACAGCTCATATTGCAACTTTGTTATCATTGCTTTTCTCTGGCACTCCTTATAACAGATTCCCATATTGTATTTATTTCTATGTCTGGTCGGCTCAGGAGATTTTTGTGGCCTAGCATATGTGCTGATTCCTTAAGTTTACGAATTTTCCAATGGTGTTCCTTGTCTATGATCTCAAAATGATCCCACAGAGGGCGGTGATCTCCTTTCTCTCTCCATATGTAGTCAGCCACGCCTGATTTTTCTAATTCCCCTCGTGTTACAGCTTTCTGGTGTTCTTGAAGTCTTACCTTGAGGGGGCGGCCTGTCTCTCCTTTATATTCCTTTCCGCAGCTGCACGGGATAGCGTACACACAGTCCTTAGTCATGTTCTCCTCTATGGGGGGTCTCTTAGAGCGAAATAAAGGGTTCAGTTCGAAATTCCAGCCACCTGATGAAGGCCGGAGCGTACAACGGCCGAAACGTTGTGATAAATATGGCGACAAAGATGAGGACAATAGTCTGAATAATGTAAATAATGTACATAATACCTCATCTCAGAAATATAGACAGGCTCTAGTTCTTTGAGGTTGTTGAATTGAAGGGTGTTCGTGGCCAGATATCTGTCGCTAGGACGAGGTTTACGGGCTAAAATCATTTCGTAACCGTGCAGCTGTTTTATCCGTCGTTCCCAAGCTGAGAATCGGTCGAACTTTTGCTCGAGTTTAGTGTGCTTCGGCAGTCTCGGCCAAAACTCGACTCTTGTGCTCCTTGTTGACGAGTCCGACAATCATCTCCCCAGCTATCATCAGCCTTCCGTGTTGGGACAATCAACTGTGATCAAGCAAAATTTGGCTTGAGCTCGTAGCCTTGCTAAAAAAAAAAAGATGAAAGATCGACTCACCATCCGCCTGACGTGTGAAATTAAAATATCTGCTGGTGTAATTCCTTGTGCAAACCTTTTACAGCAATGAATCGGTGTCTGACAAAAGCCTTTCTTCCGCAGCCGAATTTAAGGTTTCAGTTCCTATAAAGTCGGAAAAAAGCCTGTTGACTTCGGACGAGCATGTCGTTTTCCATTCCTTGCATATTTCTACTGGATTTGGTAAGTTTACACATCTCCTTATACCTAGTCCAAGCGTCAAGGAATAATGTCCAGTTGTTGGGTTCAATGATGGACTGTCTGCTTTTTCATTGTGATGGATGTTTGCGCCGTGTTAGGGGTTCCATACTTCCGAAGAGCGATGGTTCCCCCTGTTAGAGCTATCATTTGTTGCGTGAGTTGCATGCGGTTCAGACTGGTGCAGATGCCATGTCTTATTTTTTAAGATAGTTCTACGAATTCATTAGATCCTGTTCCCAGCGTCATGTAAAATAACCGCAACGACAATCGTAGTAGTAATTCTGAATTACTTTATTCTCGTACCAATACAAAATAAACCCGATTTTTGACCACTCAACTGTTTATATAAAACCGGAGGAGGTAAATTATATTCTCCTCTGTCTGACTCTGGAAGTCTCCCAGTATCAATGAGAGCTTCCATTTCTACTGTACAGTGGAGAGTCATCATAACCCAAATTCTGAAGGAACACATTACATAAAAGAAGAATGTACAGCAGAATTAATATCTTATGTGCTTCGCTTTAAAGCACTTGTTAACGAGCTCATATATCAACCATTATTATAGATAAGGTAATATCTTTAAGCTTATATATTAAGGTTTCAGAAAAAAATTGATACACACTGGGTACTCTAAGATTATAGAGTTTTGTCAAATTTACCTAAGCTTAATTGTGTTTTTCTTTCATTTTTGTGATTTTTTTAAAAACATTTCTGATGAATACAGCGAGAAACTCGGATAAATCTAGAATTTACATCAAGGAAAAGCAAAAATAAGACAAAAAATATTCTGAGATACATTATCTACACTCAGACTAATATCATCATCTTCATTGTTGTTTGTATATATATATATATATATATATATATATATATATATATATATATATATATATATATAAATTCTAGCATGGGGAGTCAGATACTTACTGGACCAGTACAATTAACCGATTATTTCCCCATTATCTTTAGCTATAGATCGTATATATAAGGGTTTTTTTATCAATTTTTTTTACGCTTTATTTTTTTTATTAATTTATGTTTTACGGTTTAGTTTTTATTAATTTGCTTTTTAAGGTTTATTTTTTTTATTAATTTGTTTTTTTACGGATTATTGTTTTTATTAATTTGTTCTTTTTAAGGTTTATTTTTTATTAATTGTTTTTTCTACTGATTATTTTTATTAATTTTTTTACGGACTATTTTTTAATTAAGTTTTTTTTACGGATAATTTATTTTATTAATTTTATTTACGGTTTATTTTATATCAATTTGTTGTTGTTGTTTTTTTACAGTTTATTAATCATTTGGAGGTTATTTAAAGTCAGAAAATATTTTTCGGTTGCATGAATTATTTTAATATAATATTCATTTATCGATTGTATTTAATCCATACCTTGTAGGAGACTAGATATTTGCGTAAGTGAATTTGACGTACCAGACTGAAATTGGATCTCGGCTGTCCGATTTCCAATTTCCAGCTGTAATCCGTTACACAATCCGCCCATCGAAGTTTACAGCACGCGTTATTCCCAAGCGGTCACCCGTCGAGGTATTGACCAAGCTCGACGTATTTTTAACTTCGGTGATCGAACGGGAACTGATGTTTCGGCGTGATATGGTCGTATGTCACGAGATATGGAATAGTTTGATTCCCAATAGACGTTTAAGACGAATCGCCTCCTTGAGACAAGGCTCATTCGTCATGATAGGTCAAAGTTCAATGTCTGCATGGTGATGGTAAAATGTTACTAATTAGATATGACAAAAAATGTCTACACTAAAAATGAAACCAAAAATATTGTTTTTAAATTACCCTGTTTCTTTTTTCGCCGCGAAGTTATGATAATGACGCAGCCTCGTTTCCAAGTGTTGAGAAAACCGCGAAAAAAACAAATGAATGTTTGAAGCAATTAATTTCTTAGAAATTAATTGATTGAATAAATCAATTTCTCAGAAATTAATTGCTTGATTGATTCATTTGTTTTTCTACAACACTTTGCAGGTTATTTAAAGCCAGAAAATCCCGAATGCGTGCCCAGTATCAATTGTCTTGTGCCATACTAAGCTAAATTATTTTTGAACCAGCTCTTTTCTCAGAGGATTGTGAATGTAGCGAGTTCGATCCTAACCGGGATTCCTATTTTTATGGCGCACCGCTACAGGGTAAGCTTAGTAAATAATTACGTACGAACCGCTTAATGTAAAGCTCATCTTGCAAGCGATTGTTTACTTTTTCGATCATTCTTTGAATTGTAGCCTTGTGTTATTCTAATAAAATATTCTCACTTGGTGCTTCATTTTTGTGATTCTATGCCAGACTAGCCGATTCAGCATAACCGATTAAAAAACACTTTCCTAGTAAGTCATATCTTGCTTGTCTTACGAGACATTGTTATCGTTTGTAACACAACTGAATACCCCTGTAGAGCTCTTGAAAATGAGGCTACGTCATTATCATCTTAAATTCGCTGTGAAAGCGAAAAATGGTAATTTGAAAACAATATTTTTGGCTTTGTTGTTTATTGTAGACATTTTTTGTCATATCTAATTAGGATTCAGTTTGTCCGGAAGTGTTTTAGTGTCAGGACCATTGATTAACGATATTGATCAAAACGGAAATCTTCAGCGGCCGCCATATTGGAACAAAATATTAACTATGTATTTCGTTTTGTCAGCATATGTAGAGTTTGTGAGTTGGCGTGTGTTAGAAGATCGTATAAGTTTCGACGCTATGTAAAACAGTAATTTATTAAAAATGAACGAATAACCACGCATTTACAAGTGCTTGTCGAAAAGGATCATATATATTTTTTAACTTCTTTCCTATAATGTCGCAGTTTACTTCACTTTATCAGATAAATTCTTATTTTTAAATTGCAAAGAATTGTTTCTCGAATAACCACTCCAGAATTAAATATAGCTTTGATAAAAGTAAATTTGTTTCTGGATTTGAACACATCTGATAGGTCGAAGATAAGCATCTCCTATTCAAAGCTGAAATAGCCCACTGCTGAAAGCCATTACCACGGATTTTTTATTTTTTTTACTACGCAGGCGCACTATAAGTGTGCACTTGAACTAAATGTGAATTCTTTATATTATATATATATATATAAGCATTATTATTGTATATAATAGATATTAAAATGTTTGATATTATACCAGTGTGTGTGTGTGTGTGTGTGTGTGTGTACTATTTTATTATAAGAGATTAGAACAAAAACATGTTGAAATCGCTACACAATAGCTTTCGTATTTCCGCACTATGATATGCCTCTTCAGGCGATGACAACTAACTCTCCATTTATATATATATATATATATATATATATATATATATATATATATATATATATAGATAACTAGACTCGTTTCGAAAAACCCTCGAATTTTTTGATTTGCTAATCAAATCAATCTCGAGGGAAAAAAGGTTTTAAAAAAGAAAGAGCTACAAACATGGACTTCTGCCGACAAAAAAATCGCACAGATGCAGGTCTGAAGCCCAAAGAAAAAAACCCGATACGAGTAACAAATCTAACTAACAAAAGAGTTTTGAATACAACTGACATACCATCGTTACTTACTATATATATATATATATATATATATATATATATATATATAGTAAGTAATGATGGTATGTCAGATTTACTTACCATCGCCTGAAGAGGCACAACGTAGTGCCAAAAAACGAAAGCCATTGTGTAGCGATTTCAACATGTTTTTGCTCTAATCTCTTATAATAAAAAAATAATTGTATATTGCTCTAGTTTGTACTGAGAACTTAAATAAAATTTAAATGCTATGAACTGTCCTTCTTGCATTTATATGTATATATATATATATATATATATATATATATATATATATATATATATATATATGTGTGTGTGTGTGTTTGTGTGTGTGTGTGTCACCACGAAATGTATCTTTAATGTATTAGACATCCGACAAAATTCATATTTCTCTCACTTAAACCTCTTCCACTCACCTCTCTAAAACTTCTCTCTGTTGAGGTTTAATCTCCTACCTTCTCTCGTCTGTTACCCCTCTCTTTAGCTCTAACATTCGTCCCACACTCTCATACTTACACTCTCTCTAAATTCTATTTTTATTTCCGGAGTTGTTTTTTTCTGTTTTCTTTTTGAATTTGTAGGTCTGATGAAATGGATCGTATTTACGATTCCAATGGAATAAATTATGGAATATTAGTGTTTAAGACTTTTATTATATATATATATATATATATATATATATATATATATATATAGTGGATTTAGACAGCAAATCTTTCTAATTTCAATGTTCGTCTTTTCTAGATTACAAATAATTCTTCTGAAACAAGGAAGTAATTGATTTCAGAAGAAAATTAAAATTAATAAGATCCGTGCTTTTGATATTCTTCCACCTACCCTGATGAAATCAAGTTTGGACTAGATTCTTATTGAATTTCTCTTTTGTTTGAAATTATTGGTAATTTTGAAAAAAATATTTGTGTCGTTTTCAATAGATGCAGCTACATATATCTATATCTATATATCCATATACCTATCTCTCTCTCTCTCTATATATATATATATATATATATATATATATATATATATATATATATATATGCATGTTTCGTTAAAAAACGACAGACAAGGTACTACAGTTGAGCTTTTTATTTAATTTTTCTTGTGTTCTGACAAGAGCTTTCTTTTCTGGACAAAAAGTGTGTAAGAACTGTCCGAATGTTCTGTGTTTCCGAGCGCTTTGATAATGATAGCGAACACACAACTAAAAATCACATACACATTTATTACAAAAACCAAATGCATATTAATTACAAGCAAGATGAATCTGCTCTAAGACATGTTATAAAGAAATATACTACTCCTATTGACCAGGATAAAAAAATCAAACTTATTATCTATTATAAAAAATTTAAGACGGCCAACCTTATCCTCAAAAATAACAACACACCAACGAAGTCAAAATTACAAAGAGCGAACATTATCTATGAGTTCAAATGCCCTTTAAGGAACTGCGTTCTCACCAAAACCGGACTCATAAATAATTACATCGGCTACACAACCACATGTTTATCCAGACGTCTTACATTACACCTATCTGATCACAGTTCCATCAGAACACATTTAAACACACACTCAGATTTACCCGACACTATTAGGAACATACTAGTAGAAAACACTAAGATATTAACTGCATCCACTTGCAAAAAAAAGACTAAAAATAATGGAAGCTCTAATAATAAAAAAGAAAAAAGCCAACTCTTAACAATATCAACTATGAACAAAGCCACAATGTGCTAACTGTATTCGGAAACTAAACATCACTACCACACACTGAACATACATAGAACACACTCTACTAAGCTGATAATTGAACCATCCTTGATAATGGCTAAAGGTATAGCCGAAAGCGCTCGGAAACACAGAACATTCGGACAGTTCTTACACACTCTTTGTCCAGAAAAGAAAGCTCTTGTCAGAACACAAGAAAATTAAATAAAAAGCTCAACTGTAGTACCTTGTCTGTCGTTTTAACGAAACATGCATAAAGGAAGGATTGCTGCCTAAATATACAAATATATATATATATATATATATATATATATATATATATATATATATATGAGAGAGCTATATATGAGATAATGATATGTAACTTTTTATACATATCTCAAAAACAGATTTGAAGGAAAAGATATGGCACAAATTAGAAAAAGGTTGTGTGTGTATCTCTGTGTGTGTGTGTGTGTGTGTGTGTGTGTGTGTGTGTGTGTGTGTGTGTGTGTGTGTTTGTGTTTACATTGATCAGAATCATTCGATGGTCGGGTTAACACGAAGTGTCAATTCATTGCGACAGTGAGATTGGACGTAAGGACATCGATCAATTAGCGATGCACGATTATGTGGTCTTTCTCAAAAACAGGTACTAAGGTACGCTCAGTATAAACGACAGGTGGGTTCTACGGGGCTTCACCAAAACAAATGTGCCTCAGCGGGCAATAGCATATCTACGCTAGAAGGCAATTGTACTGGGAAAAGAGCAATCAATTCATCTATCTATCTATCTATCTATCTATCTATCTGCATATCATGCATTTATATATATATATATATATATATGTGAAAAGTGTATATAAATATAAATAAATATATATATATGTATAATTATTTATATATTATATGATCGGTACTTATTAGAAAGCGCTCAATATCAGAGATAGAGCTAACATATTTGGTTGGATAGATGAGTTTGTGACCCTGGGTTTCACGCTTTAGCGATCGTCAGTTCGTCTGAAAGCGTGAAACCCAGGGTCACAAACTCACATCTATCCAACCAAATATATATATATATATATATATATATATATATATATATATATATATATATATATATATATATATATATATATATATATATATATAAATATATATATATATATATATATATGTATATATATAAATAATTAATTAATTATATCTATCAATCAATCTCACCATATATATATATATATATATATATATTAATAAAGTAAAAGGTTTGTAACTTCACTGATTGATAATGCATTCAGCATCCGACCCCAGACCTTCGTAAACGGACACTCCGAAAATC